AAAAAGTCGAGAGAAGGGGAACTGAAGAGTGTTTCAAAGATAAAGGTTGAAAATTTAGAAAAAAGGTGATGTGAGTACTGTGAAAGTAGTCGAATATGACATACAGGGGGGTCGTGGTAGTTTGAAGTCAGAAGTCAACTGCCGGTTAATAGAATTTTTTTGCCGTATGAGTGTTCGTTGCCCAGGTTGCACCACGTGAAGGTAAGTCTATCGCACACCCCATTTTTTATATATTATATTATATATATTTTAATATTTCTTATCTTTGATTGATTGGTCATCAGAAATTGGAATTAATACATTTCCCAAAGGGAGGATATTCACTGTTTTCTTGATTAATTTCTGAATTGGCATCTTTTAATCTCTTTTTCGAACATTCTCCTTGCACTGAGAACTAGGTAAAATTTATTCATAGTTATATGTTCAAGTATTTTTCTTATATGCAATTAGCTATTTCGTATTAAAACTTCAAATAATGAATTTAAAAAATACTCAATTATTAGTTAAATCCACGGAAAGTTGAAAGGGGATTTTTTCTCGCAAAATTATTAAGCAAAATAGTTAACGCTCATGGTGACGTCTACATTCAGATCGTTGATGAAAGCCAATCCATTTTTGATTAAAATCGGCACTTATCATGCTGCAATTAGTATCTAAGAGTCCATTTTGCACCAAGGAAACTAAAAGTGTAAAAGAATTAATCACCATTATGCCACGACCGATCACAATTAAGCTAGTTTTCTGACTGGCTGGAATTAGACATCTAGCAATAAACTGATTTTCTTAATGAAAATCAATAGTTACCTCTACCGACACTAATCTAAAACATTTACAACAATAGAATGAGCTTGTCGCATCCTTTTTAAAGACTATTGTTTGTTTTATTTTTTGAAATGCGTTTTTTTCAACACTTTTTCCTCATTTGCATACAGTATTTCCTTCGTTACGATATTGATTTGAATGAAATGCAAACGATTTAAATTGAACCCTCTAATGTACCGTATTTCAGTAACTTGTGGTTTTAAATATTTGAATTTGAAACTTCTTTCAACATCACCTCTATTTCTACCGAGTTCTGGTTTTATAATTCCGCTGCACTTTTTCCACTTATTATTTCCCTGAATATGCCTTGACAGGCACATAATGTTTGGTTATTTTAGACATTTCAGGTGTAGCAGTAAGGTGCCAATAAAAATGAAGTATGTAGGATAAAAATAGAAGTGACTGTGTAACTTCGAACTTGCCATCTTAAATTTTAGCCCAATTTGGATAAATTTATGTTTTAGCCTACTTAGTCATTATTCCTAAAATAGATGTCACTATTATTGATTTTCTTGTTGCAAAATACAAGTTTCAAATATGAAAGAGCATCTGAATAATGAAGCGTGAAGCATTTAGCTGGTTAATAATAAGAAAATAAAGACATTATTTTATTTAAGATATGTTTGTTCATATTCTCATAAATGAAGAGTTTGGTTCGTATTGTTTTAGTGTTCATTATTTATGTTTTTTGCCTTGTTTCACTGTTCACAAACTTTGAAACTTGTCTGTTTAGTGTTTAGTTACAATATACTTGATAATTACTTGATTAAAGAGAAGAATGAATATCACGAACTAGCAAAGATGAGTTTAGTTTATCAAAAGTCGCAGCAATTTACTAACGAAACTTTAGGAGAAATGAAAGCCAACAGTTTCTATTATTTATCTATCTGGTCCTATGACTATTTCGATTAAATACTCTATTTCAATGTTTGAATAATACTTTGTATTGGAGAAGGAAATTCCACAAGCAGGAATAAGGATATTTAAATAATCGCTGTCTGCAAAACCAATAATTGTTATAAACCCTATTTTTTTTACAAATGGAAATTGGTTTCCTATACGTAAATGAGGAATTTAAGCAAATGTTCTAAAATGTCATATTTTATCTGTCGCCAATTTTTTATATGTAATTACATGGGTCTACAAAAATTCATTATTGTATTTAATCTACTGAAGGATGTTAATTTAATGACTGCTTATTTTTGATGATTTCATTTAATATCTTTTATTATATAATTATTTCAAATTGCGTTGAAAATTATTTAACAAATTATATGCGGAAGGTATATTTTTGTATTAATTAAAACGTTATTTGCCTTATAGTCTTAATTGTATTGCGAATACCTCTAACTAGTGGCTTCTATTTCACCGAAATTAGACATTTTCTATTTAATTCAAGAATTTATAAACCTGGTTTCTAAGGATTTTGTTTTTAAAAAAAATTATCGACAAATTGTTTCTACTTAGATAAGCCTTGAATTTGGAAGTGAGTCCATAGGTTACTTGATATTTTGTCTAGTTAATTATTGATAAGGAATATCTTTAGGTTCAATTGCTATCGCGTAGTGATTGGCACTTAGCCAAGGCAATGCATTTTAGCACATTACTTGCGAACACAACAGCAATTATAGTGTCATTTTTACCAAATAATTGTTTATGTTTTGTTGTCTATCTTCAGATTTGTGTGTGCAGTGGGGTGTCTATAGGTTGGCTCATCAGAACGGGCAGAAAAATCAATATTGCCAATCTTATCTATGTCAATGACAAGTTCGTCTTAAAATTTAAAAGCGTTTCTACCGTTCGAAACTGAAGTTAGTTTAATCGAGTGTTGGGTAAAACAAAGAAATAGGGCAGCGAGATGTAATTGGTTTTCTTCGACACTTTGGCTAAACTTCCCATTGTTTTAGTTTGCATTTAACGTAAATAAATTGCCATTTATTATAACGAATGCCCACTACTCATAAAAATTTCATTATTTTTTATTTATTTAGATTTTTCCAATTTTTTTAAAATAAAAATCATTTATTTATCCCAACGGAATTTTTTTATTATAATTTATCTATATGTCTGAGCCAAAATTTCGTTTGATCTTTATCACGAAATTGAAATACTGCTACTTCCTAATTTAATATCGGGTTTTATCTGATTCGCTATCTGTTTAAACCGGCGCAATCAAATGGCATTTATTTACAAAGGTAGTACTTGTATTTGTTTATAGGTTGCGATGGATTGTTACTCGAATAAGCATTGTTCGCAACAATTTTGTGCAGTTTTCCTTATATTTCTATGCAAATTTGTTTAGAAATTAGATGAAAATTCATTTTATTAAATTTCCCGCCACCAGGAATTCCTAAGTTCAATCCCCCTAATTGCGGACCTTATATGTTGTAATAGCTTTTCCTGATCTCAAATCATTATAGTAGCTTTTTTTCTGATCCGCATCGCCTTTTTTTCGAATGATTATTTGGTTGTGGCTTTGCAGGGCTGAAGCGTTAAATTCAAAATAGATATTGCCTCAACTTATTTTCTGAAAAGGTATAATTTATTATTGAAAGAAATGAAAGAATTCTGACTTAATCTCAACTTGTGTGACATTTAATTGATTGAGAGATATTCAGTAAACGTTTTTTTGTTTATTTTTGGAATTTATATGAACCCATATCTCTCTAAATTTCCAAACACTTGTATGCGTGTGGTCTCTCAGAAAAAAACACGACTCTGGTTATTGTCCCTAAATTAAGTTCATTCTCCTTCTAGAAACTTCTAGAATCCGAATTGATCGACACCTTTTGGCTCTTTTCTGAGCAAACAAATGAATGTGTATACAACAACCCCAAACTTTGTTCGATTTGCCTCAACTGCTATCCCATTTATTTAAGGTAAAATAATGTTCGACATTGAAGTAGTGCTGGTGTTTAGACAGTGGGAGAATACCCGACCACATTGCCTATTTATGCTCAACAGGAGAGGTATCTGATACAATCACCTCATAAGTGTGCTATCCGTATTAAGCTTTGCTAACACTCTCGTATAAAAAACTTAGAAGTCTACTCTCCAAGTAACAGCTTTAATGGAACACACGCCCATGAAAATCCATTTCTAATTTTAACTACGATGCCATTAACTGAGGGACAAATTTTGAAAATAAGTAGGATCTGTAAATACCTCCACTAAACTCTCTATTCGTTGCATTTAGTCTGTTGCTTAAAACACCATATTCCTTAACTATGTTGGGTTAAGGAGTGCCGTAGGTTTTTTTTCTATTAAATGGCCAATATAGTAACGCAAATGTCAACCCCATTTTGGGGTTTTTTATGATAACTACATTCCTTCCAAATTACTTCCACTTTTCTTTTCTGTTGTCCTCTCTTTCACAGTGCCAGTGCTTTTAGCGAAGGGCCAAATTAAGTCGATATTTCCTCTACACGATAGAGAAGCGCTGGCGGAGCTTCAACACTCTTGGGTGCGAGGACTAACTCATAGACAGCCGTTGGATACTGTGGCTGAGTACTTTGGAGTGAAAATTGCTCTCTACTTTGCTTGGCTCGGGTATTACACAACTTGCCTTCTGGCACCAGCGATTGTCGGTCTCTTCACCTGGCTCATTTTTCCTACCGCTGTTAGTTGCACTATCTTTAATCCCGCAATTCATATGATACGCGGTTTAAGAAAGTCCATTGCCTTATTATAAAAGTCTGACTATCAGAATAGTACAAATGAATGCGACCGCATATGTGTTCCAAATTGTTAAAAGCATATCAATAAAATTTAGCTCTAGCTAAATTAACACAAGCTACAGTTCCCTAGAGGCAGTACGAAGAAGGCAGACATTTAGTTAATTTGGTGTTGTTAAAAACGACAGCGCTTTTCAATTTTATGTACTATTGGCGCAATGGTTAACGCACATGATTTAGCATCAACTAATCGAATTGCCAGACCTCATTTGTTATGTACTGCTAAAGCAGGTCTTGAAGTATTTGCCTCTCTCACGAAGGGGCTTCAGAACACAACTCTCGAATATGTATTTATATCAAATGGCGGGCGTTTTGATGGTTATCATTAGCCCTTTAGTTGACTTCAGGCTTCACACGGGGGGAAGGAACATCAAAGTGAAAAAAAATTTGAGAGGGGTGGGACAGAAGAGTGTTTCAAAGACGAAGGTAGAAAATTTAGAAAAAAATGTGATATGAGTACTGTGGAAGTAGTCGAATATGACATACAGTGGGGCAAAAGAGCCAGACAGACACAAAGACAGAGAAAAGGTAAGGCGTACTGTGGAAGTAGTCGAATATGACATACAGTGGGGTCAGAAGACAACTGCCGGTTTTTAGACTTTGTTGCCGTATGAGTATACATTGCCCAGGATACACCACGTGGAGGTAAGTCTATCTATATGTAAAAGTACTAAACCATGGAAGTTGAGTGACGTCAGTTGTGGAGTATAGTCGGGTGTTAGAAAGGAGGATCATCTTAGCTTGGACAGAGGAAATACATCTTTCAAAAAATATATGCATAACTAAATTGATTGCAACAAATAGATAAGTATATCAAAATTATCAAATTATGTTACTTAATAGAATAATAAAAATTTCCACTCTACAGATATTTTGTACAGAGGGGAGTTTACTAGTAACATACTATATAAACGAAATTGCTTGCTAGCTTTCAAAATGTCAATTTTACGTTCATTAAGTTTGGACAATTTGCATCGATGTTGAATTATACTTGCTGAACAATGACAAACATTGTGAATGCTTTTAATTTTAAAACTTCGGATGCAGTAGACCAAGAAAAGTCGAAACTCACCACTCACATTGTTTAATATTGGAATTGAAATGTTAGCTTAATAGTTAAAATAGATTCGAAACAAGAGTTTCTCTCGGTTGTTCTGGAGTAAACAATTGACCTCCTGGAATTCAAAAGTCTATGAGAGAACTTCTAATCACCCTTAATTAGAGCTATAAGACAATATATCGGTGTTTATCTATAGACATTTCAATGTACCACTGTTATGTCACATTATTTATTTCAAATGGCAGGCGTTATGATAGCTATCATTAGCCATTTAGCTGACTTCGGGCTTCACAGAAGGAAGGTTCATCAATGTAGCAGAAAGTCGAGGGGTGGGGATCAGAAGAGCGATTCACAGATGTAAAAGAGGCAGACAGACACAAAAGTAGAGAAAAAGGTAAGATGAGTACTGTGGAAGGGGTCGAATACGACACAGTGGGATGATTGTAGTTTGAAGTCCGAAGTCAACTGCCAGTTAATAGACTTTTTAACCGTATGTGTATACGTTGCCCAGGGTGCACCACGTGGAGGTAAGTCTATCGCGCACCCCATTGTTTTGTCACATAATTCCTATTATCAACTCCAACTTACTCCTACTCGTTATTTCAGAAGCAAGGCCCACTGTACTACTCCGTTCTTGCCTTTTTCACAATGCTTTGGGCAGTATTTTTCCAGGAGGCGTGGAAAAGGTACAACAATCGCTACACATACCGCTGGGGCACACTGGATAAACTACCCAGTTTACTTGAGGAGCCTCGACCCCTATTCAAGGTAACTAACCTTAACTTTCCTCGATTTTGAAGGTCAAATTGCGGAAGAAGTTAGATTCCGTTTTGTAATCAACTTTTGAATGGATTGTAATGCTTCGCCTTTATTTAATATTGAATTGTATTACATTTTTTCTCATTTGCAAACTCCTATGGTAAATTAAAATTAAATTAAAATTAGGTTAATGGATTATGACTACTCTCGTTGATTCCAAAATCGCATCAGTGCTCTTTTCATGTGGAAATTCATGTGAGAACAGCAAGTAAGTACAAAATGGCTTGAAACAGGTGGAGTCAAAGTGTTTCCTAATTTGTTTTAATTATTCAGTCATTGAAATGCCCATCTTAATTTTGTTCCGTTATTTTCCTCTAGTTAATCCCAAAATGTATTGATTACATTTTACTCGCATTATTCAGAATTTGTTCAACGCTGTTGCTCAGTTATATTTCCTTATTTATTTATTTAAATAGTTTATTTATTTATTTACCACTTAAAATTAGTTGGTTTTTATTTGAAAAAAAATCTGATAACAATTCGGCACAAAGTAACTGTTTATACTTGAAAATCGAATGGATTTCTTCATCGATTATTTTAAATTAATTACAAAATTATTTTTTTGGTTCATATTTACTTACATTATTTAACTCTACTCAGAAAATGTTTTTTCGGAAATTCCTTATATATTTAGACATTTTTACTTCAAATTTGTCAATTGGCATATCATGATTCTGGTAGATAACCAATTCGTAAATTGTCAATAAGTAATATGAATTTCGTTAAACATATTAAAATTAATTAGTGCTCTAACTCTGCAGGGGGTTCTTGAACCGAATCTAATCACTGGACGTCTGGAGCCTTTCTATCCTCGATGGAAAAGAAATCTTATTGTCTCTTTCGTCACTATCCCGATTACCCTCGTTTGTCTTCTCGTTGTTGTTGGCGTGGCGGTGGGTCACTTGAAATTGCAGGAGCTTGCCGAAGACAAATTCTCCAAGTCGCGTATACCTGGAGCAAAGATGATAACTCTTTTACCTATGGTGCGTATTTGCCGGTATTCGGTTATTGTCCCAGGGACTGAATATTCCCAAGTCCTGTCATTGTTTTATTACCCTGGCTTTGTTATAAATGGGAATATGATTTATAGGTAGATAGTGACAAAATAATCTACACAGCTTTGTCGACTAATGTAATGAATCGTGCTCTGTTTTACAAAAATCTGATAAATCAGACCTGATATATTGTGGGTTTTTAGATAACTTATTTGGAATAAGGTGATTGTATCTTAAGGTAAATATTTCTTTTTTTCAATTTAAAATTTTCGCCAAACTTTATTTCATAGATTTTTCAAATTGTTCAGTATAATTTTTATACTTCATGTTACTTCAGTCCAAAGTTTAGAGTGCGGCAAATTTATTTGAATATATATTTTTGTAGAGATATACTTAAGCCCAGCTTATCATTTTTCTTTATAAAAAGCGTGAAATCCCATTCATATTTAAGGACAGTGTTTGTGACACTTTATTTTAAATACCATTTCCTCTTACTTAATTACATCAGTAGTATGGATATTTTCATATTTCCTTCAACTATTCTGAGTTGCTTTGATTCGCGCACACACATCAATCTTCAGCTTTATGAAAAGGTGTAAATAAATGATCTTTGACTTCTGAAAATCATTAGCTTCTGTTGAAAATAGATTTATTTTTAATAACAGGAAATCGTTTGTATAAGGAGATTTTTGAAGTATGCGCATCAATGCGCTTTTTTATTCCATTATTTCTCTTTTAAGGGCATTTGAAAAACATTAAAATCAATCGCAGTGTTAATCCTTGAAATGGTGTCTAATGCAAACATTTGTCATATTTAAGTGCTACTTTAACTATTACTATTAAGAATCCCTTTTGTTTACCTTTAATAATATTTTTACTGGAATTATCACTTCATTTAGTAATTTACATCCCTTATTTTATTACGAAATTCATTAATTGATCTAAGTGATTGTTCGACAAACTTAAGATGTACATTGCACCTTTATTTTTTTCTAGATTCTCTACGCTGTAAACATTGCTATTCTCAATGAATTCTATCAAAAAATAGCCGTTAAACTCACTAATTTGGAGAATCATCGACTCACCGAATCTCATGAACAGGCTCTGGTTTCCAAACTTATCCTTGTATGTTTAGTTTTCTTTTATCCCAACCCACTTTAAATATTCGTCGTTGTGTTGAATCGTTGAAATGTGTTCGAAAAACCTTTTTAAACTTATAGATGCAAATACCCTATTTTAGTCAAAAATAGGTTAAAATGTGTTCTTTTTTATCTAAGTCATCATTAATAGTTTTTTTTAAATCTTCTATTTTTAGTTTCAATTTATTAACGCCTTCTATGCCTCCTTTTACATCGCTTTCTACCGAATGGATCTCGAACTTCTTCGAAATGTAAGTAATAAATTACAAATTGTGCAAATGATTTGTCAATGTCCCAAAGATCACTATGTTGTTGATCTCATTTCTGGTGGAACAATAAGATTAGCATATTCCTATGCACAGTATTGACGATCTCATTTTGATTAATTCATCAATTTGACTATTGTCCCATAAATAGGTAAATGAACGTAGAAATTATTACTAATATTGCGAACAATCGATCGGATTGTCAAACGAATAAAAATGTATCTCAACGAAGGAATTCCAGTTAAACTTTTAAGATCTATTGAGATAGATTTCAAATGCGGTTCAAGTGATCAGGGGGGTGGTTATCTTGTGGCTCTACTTATTAGATACCTGCCTTTTTAGTGGATCATAAATAATGTGGTTGGCTATTTTTATTACCGGATCTGAACCTTTAATACTTGGAACTAGTGGATTAGGGTATTTGGTCCAACTTTGGTTAATTTCCTTGTTTTACCTTTCTATTTCTACCAATCAGTATTAAAACAATGGTATTGCGAGAAGGCAGAATAGTGGAGAATAGAGTTTACTGAGAGAAGACCTGAGATAGAGTAATCCAGAACACGGAATGTCCAGTTTTATTGACTAAGCGGGCGGGAAAAGGTTGATCAGATTGCCTTTCCGGTGGGGTTAGCCAATGGTCAGTAGTAGATTATTTCGACACCTATTAATTTGTTACTTTGAAGCCGAAAAACTGTTGAGGGTATGGTATTGATATGTTTTTTCATAGAATGTATGCCTCGTTAGTTTAAAAATGATAAATGTTCCCGGGTGGAATAATAATGAGCCATAATTAAATCCAATGAGACGATCAATAATGGGTTATGAAAAGCCCGATTCGCCTAAAGTGATGCGAAGAAATTAAGCGACTAGTCGCAAAAATGGAGGCAGTGGGGTAAGGGGGGGGGGGGTTATATATACTTTTGAGGTGGTACTCTGTGATATTGTGAATTATTCGCAGTTTCCAATTCTGGTTGACAAAAATGATACTACGAAGCAAATTACTCATGAGCATTTTAACGATTCCTTCATTCCATCCTAATTAGGTGTTATTAGCACCTTCTTTAATGAATTATGCCTGCTTTTCAGTTTTGTATTCCAAATCTACCGACAAATTTGACTGATTACATACCTTCTTTAGATCAAACTAACCCTTAATGAATTATATTCCTGTTTTTTTGTGAGGGAGATATTATCAAGGTTTCTTCAATTACGTAGTATTTTAAAAGAGATCCTAATAAACCAATCTTGCGGTTTTCATTCAATATTACTTCCAATTGTCCCTAACGCTCGTGCTAACAATGCACCAAACATTCAAACACGTTTGTGGACTCATTGAATGTCAGCTATTCTATCATTTATTTATTTCAAATGGCAGGCGTTTTAATAGTTATCATTAGCCATTTAGCTGACTTCGGGCTTCACAGAGAGGAGGAGGAACATCAAAGTGACAAAGAGTCGAGAGGGGGACAGAATAAGGATTCACAGATGTGACAGAGACAGACACAAAGGTGGAGAAAAAGGTAAGATGAGTACTGTGAAAGTGGTTGAATATGACACAGTGGGGTGATGGTAGTTTGAAGTCAGAAGTCAACTGCCGATTAATAGACTGTTTTGCCATATGGGTATACGTTGCCCAGGGTGCACCACGTGGAGGTTAGTCCATCATAATAATTATGAAGTGCAGGGTAAGATTAAACTTACAATAAGAGGAGATTTTGCTTTCAGTTGATGTTAGCAAACGAAAATAGATTTGCAATTTGCTTAAATTTTTGATATTATCATTTTTATAATTTTTATTATTTTCACCACCTCTAATGCGAAGTAGATGGAATGCGGATGGAAGAAGTGTTAGCATGTTCTTTTTTTTCATTTAATTTATTTAAAATTGTATCTCAGATAATTAATTGCACTCATTTCAAATTCTGGTATAATGAAAATAGACCTCGGTATTGCATTTGAATTAACTTTTCTTCACGTTGGCATTCTCTTCTAAAATGCCAAAATCGCGTTTTAAGGCCCGTTTGCTGATACTGTCTGCAATACGAAGAATTTAATTGCAGTGAAGGATAATTGACTATTTACCCTATCGTTAGTTTATTTCACAAGTCCATATTCTCAGCAGTTTGAAAGTTCACAAGAGAGGTATTTTTAGCTTACGATGTGAATTAGTCTTCCAGACGCAATGAACTGGACCAATTATGTTTTATTCTGTCTGGATGAATAACTCAATTGGCGGTTATTTCGTTATATATCTCTCTCAATAAAAAGCTCTGAAATCACTAATCTTATATAAATGGTGAATTCATGTGTGCGCTTTTTGAATACACAGGAGAAATTGATTCTCAAAACATGAAAACGAAAGCATTGACACCCTCCATTCGTTGGAACATCTACATGTACAGTGTAGCCAAGCTAAAGGAGGCGTGTTGGAACGTGCTGTTTCGAGTAGCACTTTCAATAATTGTTGTGAAATATTGAATGTTCAGTGCTTTGATAGGCACACTATTGAGTAACATTGTATGAGAAATGATAGGGCTAATTAGTACAAATATGCTTCTATTCATGAATCTATACCCTTTTGATGGAGGCAATATTTTACTTTCAATTACCATATTTTGATGGTGCAACAACTGGGCTTGTAGCTTTGTATTGAACTATTTGAATGAACGCCAAAGTTGACAGTTTAGTATAACACAACAACCAATGAACTTCGGAAGAAAGCGGGGTTCAGTGGTAAGTAAATCATGGTATTAGCTTACCAAGTCAACCTCTTACAACATTTTGTCTTTTCGTGAACAACACATTTTCTCTTTAAGTTGTGCAATCACTTATCATGCATTTGGTGGGTGCCTCAAACTGTATGAATTCCCATATTCATAGCAGTGCAATTGCTAAATGGTTTGGTCTTCTGCCTACACGCTTTATATACTTTAACTAAATCATACCCCAAAATTTAAACTATAAAAGAGCAATAACTCTACTGATGCATGAACCTCGTTTCATGTAGTTGACAATAAACTTCATTGCTTCCAGCATTCAACATTCATTCTTTTAATATTCTCACTTTTAACCTATTGTTCTCCTTTGCCACTCTTTCTCTCTCTTCCTCAAAATAGCACCTTGTTACAATGTTGGTAACGCGACAAATAGCAGGCAACATTAAGGAGATCTTCCTGCCGATGGGACAGACACGTATTAAGCAAGTTCTCTTAACCCTCCGAACTGACGGTTTGCCAACTCTTAAGAAAGATGACTCCCTTTCGACAGACTTTAATGGAGAGGAATCTGAAACCGTGGGGCCAAATCCACCAGCTCGAAAGTTATCAGAAGTTAAAATTACTCGAGTTGAACAGGAGGAGATTATGCCCGTGGTATGTCCTCCACAACGGGAATTATATTTTGCTAGTCTGTTGAAGATGTATTTCATTTCATCGCTTATTTTCTTTTTAGTATGACAATGCGACTGAAGATTACCTCGAAATGTTTATTCAGTTCGGTTTCGTCAGCATGTTCACTTGTGCCTTTCCAGTTTGTGGTTTACTTGCCTTCCTGAATAATATTCTGGAAATTCGTAGTGATGCATATAAGTTGCTCACTAGTTTTCGAAGACCGTTTGCTGAAACAGCTAATGGAATTGGAGTTTGGGAGGTGGTCTCATGATTTCTGTGTCATTCCCGTTCGACTTGCTTGTTTTCATGACAGGATTATTTCTATTTTTAGCAAGCATTCGAGATTGTCAGCTACGTGGCAATCGCCGTTAATGTTGGGCTGATTGGAGTTTCAGGAGGCATTCAAGCAATCTTTCCTGGACTTACTTCCTATCAAAACATTCTCATTCTTATTGCCATTGAAGTAAGTAAATATCAGTAATTTGAATCTATATCAGTATGTTTTTTCTACAATGAAATATCAACACTTATTTGAATATCATGCGTTAAGTGATTTGTAAGTGCCGAAAAATAATTTAATGGATTTGAGGTAAATTAGTGACGGTTTGATCGGTTAATATAAGCTTCATATTTGCTCAGGCTGATGAGAAATAAGAAAGTGGTATAGGCCAATTCACTTGGAAAATATTCGTTTTCTATATGAGGGTTATAGAAATCGGAGAATATTTCATAGTTTGGTCATTTGTTATTGTAGTGAAACTCCATATCCAATTTTAAGAAAGTAAAGATCAGATTTGGTTGCTGTCTGGTGGTTGTCTAAGATAAAGATATATGACAACCTGAAGGTGTGTATGGAGAATGGAGTCAGTGGCCATGGAGATGTATTTATTTTATTTTATTTATATCAAATGACAGGCTTTATGATGGTTATCATTAGTCCATTAGTTGACTTTGGGCTTCACAGAGAGGAGAAGGAACATCAAAGTCACAAAAGTCGAGAGAGGGAACAGAAGAGTGATTCACAGATGTAAAAGCGACAGACAGCCACAATGGTAGAGAAAAAGGTAAGGTGAG